AGCTCTGCCCAAATTCTGGACCAGTAGGAATTTAGAAACCAGTCCAGCAAACACCACCCCCACGCTGGTTTGCCCATTGGGGTTTATCCTGCAGCAACTCATGGGTACCAGGCCCCACTGGGCGCTCTCAGGTCTTGGGACAGGGTGCAGCCAAATCTGGCATAGATCTAAGCTTCTGCAGACAGGGGAAAGGAGGAAGAGAAAGGAAAGGCTTGTTCCTCTAGGAGATGGCCAGCTATTTACAAAGTTCGCAGGTTTGGGATCACTTTTTTTTTCTGGGTCTCTCCTCCACGATGCTCAAGCACTACGCACAGTTGGACCCTCCCGAACTGCAAACAACTTTCTCAGCACTATGGGAGATGTTTGGTGCCAAGCCTTAGGAGTGCGAAGCCAAGCAGGAAGGGCCAGTTTAGACTGCAACTCTGCTGCCAAGCGAAATTTTAAAGGCACACAAACAGCCCTCAGATCCCACAGGGACAGGTGACCAAGAAACCTGGAGAGCCCTGATCTGGTACAGCATTAACACAAAGGGGTCCCCTGTGGGCATCCAGCCACAGCTCAGGCTGCTCACCCTGCGAGACATCCCTGCAAGGTACAATAACCTCCCTTCGCTAAGAAAAACCTTAGGCAACCTGATACTGATATCAGCTTTCTTTTTTGTTTGTTTTAAAGAAAAGGTATTTCCAACTTAAGAGAATTAAAAGCTGCAGATAGATGCTTTACATAGCCCAGCAGCCTAGTGCATAGGATAAGGAACATTTCTTTATGATACAGGATTTTCAAGAATGCCCAAATCTCCAGTCAACAGCCATATCAAAGGGGTAGCAATCCAGAAAGTCCCTGGCAGAACAGGTCAGGACCTGCCCACAGAAAATGCAAAATGCTTTTTTGAGCGAAGTACAAAGACTTGCTACAAAGCTGGTGTCTCTCTGCAAGCTATACGGATTACATACCCACACAGCAGCCCAGTGAGAAGAAATTCTAAGCTGATTAAATTAACCATCCCCAAAACGCTCCAGCAAGGCAGGGTTACCTGCATGGTACAGCAATTTTTGCTTTGATCTCCAGGAAACGTCTGTTTATTCAAAGACCATTTGCTATAGCAACCGGGGTTTATAGAAAAGGAGGGAGGAGGAAGAGAATTCCCCGGTGCTTCACTAGAGAAGTTTTACCACTGCTAGCAGAGTCCTGCAGTTAAATACCTGGGGCCAAATGACATTTCAAGTCATTTCCAGAGAGCCCCACAGACTCGATGCTGGAGCACCCTGGGAACAGAGATCTCTTGCAGGGAAGTCCAAGTTCATCAACCAAAACGAGACCCTCCTCCCCAGTCATCGTTCCTGTGTCTGCAGGAGGAGACACTCAGGAAGCAGCACAGATACTCAAAAGCAGGAGGTCAAAAGTCCCTCCCCTTCCTTTGAGGTCTGTCTTTTTGTGTTGTTTTGGAAGGGGAAAAATAAAAACAAACAAAAGACCACATAGCCCTCAAGAGGGATACAACTCACAAGGTCTGTTGTTTTCTTTTCCAACGTACTAATAATTATCAGCACAAATTCAGTGCCATTGATTCCAAGTATTCAAAACCTGTCCCTTAGTCCCATTCCTCAGTCATAAAATAGCTGTAAAAAGTCTGTTTTTAAAGTTACACATATATTGGGTGAGGGGGATTTGCCTTTGTGTTTCCAAGTCCTGCATCACACTTCAGGAAAAAAACCCAAACTTTCAAATGTGGCCCAGCCACAAGGACTCAAACAAGACTTTTTTTTTTAATAGCATGAGATTCTCAGCTTTCATTTGGTGCCCCCATTTCCAGCAGCTGGTATTTATGCAAAAGAACATCAAACGCCACGGGGCTTATAAAAAAATAAAATAAAAATCATGAAAGCTCCCACCACTGCAGTTTTGCAAGCCTCCCTGGGCTGTTTTCAACAGGCACAAGACTGCTTGGCCTCTGCCACAAGCAAAGAAAAGATGGGAGAAAAGAAACAAGATCACTGGTGAGGGCAAAGCATCTCTGCAGTGCATTTATACACTGAGGAAGTTCATGCTGGATGCTGTCATCTCACCACTTGTATCCCTGGGGACTCACTGGGGTCCTTGCAGTCGGCTTCTGCTCTGTCATGTGTGAGAACTGGGGTTCCCCTCCTTCACCTTGATGCCCATCAGGTATAAAAGCAAGAGAAACTTGCTGGTTTATGCTTTCATTTTAGTGCTATGGATTTCAGCGAAGCTGCTGCAGGATAAGGCACTTCCCTTTGCACAGAACGGTTTTTTTGCTCCATAAATATTGCATGGCACCTCCTGGCTGCTGAAGCACAAAGCCAAACACTGACACAGAGGAGCCATGGGGACTGAACGCAGCTGGGAGGGACAAGGAAGCCTCTGCAGCAGCGGCCACCATCAAAGTCCAGGTTTCCTCACATATTTTCCTTGTTAGTTCAGGAGTCAGAGCGCAGTCAGGCCAATTAGGCAAGACCTCTCTCAGCACCGTCAGCTGAGGCCTCTTGTGGCACAGGCCGAGCCGTAAATTATTCAGAGCCAAATTGCTCCTGCTATTCCCAAGGTTGGGCACATCCGGACCCCTTGCCAGCCTGTCTGTGCTTCTACCCCTTTCGCACTTTGAACACTGTTTTTCCAAGCTGGGCTGTGAGGACAAGGAAACCACAGCAGATCCCAGCCAGACATGCGCCCACAGCAGCTCTACCCAAAGCCTAGGCCACTCGAAGCTAAAGCACAACAGAGTCTGTGCTCCCATTGTGCAAATGGACCATTTAAACAGTCCAGGAAAATGCTGGCTAAAAAAACTGCACAGACAGAAATGGGGATGGGATATGGACAAGACAATGAATGCCAGTGTTTATATTTGAATGCAAATTTTCCCCAATGGCACTGGTGACCGAAAAGTGGAAGACTTTGACTTTAGGGAAAACCTGGTAGCGACTAGAAGCCTTCCAGATGTACAACAGTCTGGCTTATTTACTTCCCTCAAAGTCAGTAAAACACTACAGCATTAACAAGAACAGCCTGAGCAATGAAATGCAAATACCACTGAAATAATTAAATAAAGAGAACGATCCTTCTCCCGAAACAATGGACGGGGCTGTAATGTCTACCCTCACGGGAAAGTCTCATACAGGAGGCTGTTGTTCAAAGAGTAGCTTCAAAAGAGGCTGTTTAATTTTAGTAGGTCAGCAAGCATATGACATTACAAAGCCCTTCTTAGACAAAAGCAGAGCCAAGGAGATCTGTACAGGAAGGAAGGCAAAGCTTCCTATCGCAGGGAGGAGGTGGAAGGGGAAAGGGGAGGGGGCTGACATTTTAGAGAGATCGAATAAGGCCAACGTATAAAATTCAGACAGACCAGGCACAGAGTAGGGAGGTAAAAACAGCAGAACAGGGTGGAATATAAACTGGCCCCATCTCTCACCCAAGCTCGGTGTATGTTTGTCTTTTTAATTTTGCCGAGATTAGTTTTGCTGCAGTTGCAATCTGTCCAAATCTTGAGTCCCCTCCTAGGAGAGATGTTTGCCTTTCATTTCCTTAGACGGGTACATATTTACTTTGTTCTTTAACGCGCCCAGGGCTCAGCATCACGATTAGCAGCCATCTAAATACCAAGTCTCTGGACACAACTTGCAGCCCAGCTCCCTCGAAGCAAGGAGATGCATAAAGGAAATGCTTAGCACTAGGTACTGCCGCCCTCTGAGCGGTGGGTGACAGAGAAGTTCGGGGCTTTATCCGTGGATTTTTAATTAAGAAGGGACACTGACCCATGCTGACATTGCAAAAGGTGCCTGCTTTTGCACATGTTGCCCAATAAAACCATACCCCTCCTGCATTGCTTAACCAAGGCACAAACCAGCCCTGGATCGCGTTCTTCCAGCAACAGCCCCGGGGCTCAGCCCTGCTCTGGCCTCAGCTCCCCTGGCACAACGGGCAGGGACTGATGGCTCTGACAGCTCAGATCACACAAATGCAAGTCTCAAAAGTTGAGATTTCTTATTTTAACTGTAGTAAGGTTACCCTGGGAGGCCACAAAGGGATCTGAAGCATTAAAAAGAGGAAGGAAAAAGTAATAGTGCTGCTGAATGCACCATACGACACTTGCCTGACTTGCCAGTAGTTACAAGAAGGAGCTGATGAACTGGCCAAGAAGATGGGTTTCAAAATCCTCATATTGACCTGATTTCCAGTATCTTGACACAGACACTTGCGTGCACAGTTACTGGAGTCTAGCGCAGGGCAGGTATACAACAGTTCATGCCCCCTGCACCTTTCCTGTGGCAGCACACAGGCAGGGTGCTTTCACACTCTGCTTCCTCTGCTGCCAGGGACTTAAAGGAAACAGCAGGCAGAGAAAAATATATATATACACATACCTGCTGGGCTAGGGGAAAGAGACACAGGAACCTGCTGTTCCAGCCACAGCACAAATTGCTGTTGCACTGACTCGCTGGATTGCATTTCATGTCCCTGTGCCTTCACAGCCATGAGAAATGGAGCTCTCGCTATCGGTTGCCTCTGCATTACAGATGCTGAGCCAGAAATCATGCAATAATAATAATGCAATAATAATAATAATGTAGTAATAATAAGAATAAGAATAAAAACAGGGTTACCCCCCCAGTCTGATCATTCAGAAGAGGAACTGAGTGGCAGAAGGGATACCCTTATCCATGCTGCATTTTCTACCTTTACAAACTCCAAATGGTGAAAAAAAAATCCAACTCCGATTTTCATTTCACTGAGAAGATCTCTTGATCTTCTCTGGGCTATTTACAAGCAGCTTTAGTTAGAAGACACTTCGCTCATCAAAGAAAGCAGGGAAAATCTAGGCACTGTCAATGCAGCGAGTAGAGCACAGTTTGTGAATAATTTCTAACTCACACTAATGCTTCAAGCCGCTCCAGAGGTTTTGCTTCACCATAAATGAGCCATTTCCTCCCTGCAGAGTGAGAAACGCGTAGCTGCGCAGGTCACACACAGCAACAGCCTCTTACCCAGAGCTTGCCATCCCAATAAAACGCTCCCAGCAGCTTGACGATGTGCCGGTGATCACAGGTCGCCAATATTTCAATCTCCACCATGTAATCCTCCAGTTCATCTTCGCTCTTTGTTTCAATGACTTTGGCAGCCGCTAAAGCACCGGTTTCCTTATTCTTAGCCTGCAAGACAAAACCAGTATGAGTACAAAGGCGAGGATAGGCAGGAGCACACAGTGCTGGCACGATTCCTGCTCCTCCAGTTCACACTTAGCTCAACTGGTACCAGCCACAGCACAAGCATGGAAACTTGCAGATGCGTTTCTGCTGCCTAAACCTGTCTGTAGCTTCACAGAGAGGATGAATGCTGCATCAGGGCCAAAGCATCCTCCTTCCTCCCCCTAGTCTCCAATGCCCACACCACTTCCCATCATGGGGAGAAAGAGGCTTTCAGAAAAGGAGATACATCCTATTGTTCGTTGCATGGAAAAGATGGAAGCAAGAAAACCTCAGAGTACAGAGGCTCTCTGGTAACATCCTTGGTGATAGCTCCAATTACTAGAAGTCCTGAGTATACAGAGAATCCAACCAAATTCACAGTACGGCTGTGCACCACCACCACCCCTGAATGCCCCTACATTCCCCTTCCTCACTAGGGCAGTGTCCTGTAACACACAAGGGAAATGTAGGGATCACCTCCTTGGCAGGCAAAGCAACAAGAACAACTCTTTTTTATTTCCCAGAA